TTTTGGATGCTTCCTTAGGTATAGCTCTGCTCAGGCTTGAATGCTGGGTTGTTTCTTTGAGCTGAACCTGCAATAAGTTGCCACTTACATACCACGCTCAAAAAAAAAGAATACTTATCAGCCACCCGAGAGGGTCTGGCTTGGGCAGCTTATAGATTACTGCAGCCCTACAGTGTCAATTCTGAAATTAACCTCACTGTTAATAGGGCCACCGTCGTTAAAGGAAGCACTTCCATGCTCGGTTCTAGGTGTTTGGCCACTCTTCTACAGTGAAGCAGCATGCAGTCGCAATGCCGGTATACTTTGTCACACTGGTTAGAGTTCATTCACGTTAGCTTGAGGTACATGGGATGTGCAAAATATGATCGGTGTTTGCTCTCATTTTTACTGCATTAAACTAAGTATTGGGTGGATGGAAACCTGTGCTTGGATGTTTGCCTGCTGGGCGTGGAGGATCCGTAATTCCCTGCAAAGACCCTGGGACCTGCAAGTGTATGATTTGCCTTGGAAAATTAAACCAGCAGCCGCTTGGAGCAACAAGGTATGGTGTGAGAGCCCTTTCTCATAAAGGACGCTCTGCCTCCTGCTGCGGGTTGCAGATGCCCAACCTGCGGGTTACTCACCGACTTGCATTGCAGGTCTGGCCTGATCTGCGGTCAGGCAGAAAGCAATGCTGAGGAGCGGGCGTTTGTGTGTGTTGCTGGGCAGCGCAGAGAGGGAATTGTGTAGCTGTTGTGCTTGCTTTTGAAGATATCCCTGATTATAGAACTGATGAGAGAGCAAAAATGATGTTATGTTGGGCAGAGGCAGTTTTTAAGAGGGCGCTTGTGGTCCCAGGCTACGGAGGGGAACCCACGAAAGCACAGTTGGGTCCAGAGTATGTCATCCTTTCCTTCACATGCATTTATTTCCACAGTCTCTGTCCCATTTTTATTCTAGCCCTTATTGGTATAGTAAGGTCTTTTATTTCCCCCAAACTAGTTTCCATTAAGACCTGGGCTCTTACTGGAGGCCAGTAACAGGGCAGCTTTAGCACCCGCTGAGCCAGCCAGGTCCTAGGTTTTGACGTTCCGGAGGCAATGCTGTTGAATTTGTGGAGCAACCGCATTCTACATCTGAAATTGTGTTGCTCAGTCCTGCTCCCGACACTGCTGTGCGTGGGCTGGAGGTGGGGGGAGATGCTCTTAATCCTCGGCTTTCCAGTTGTGCAAGTGAAAAGGTGAGTGTAGTTAAGAGGGACGTATTTGAAACTGCAGAGTGTGAAGTGGGGCAGTTGCTCCCAACTCGTGTCTGTTTGTTTGGGAATGGGGGGTGACAGGGCTTGGGGCAGAGAGAAGCGTTTTGCTGAGCTACAAGATACCAAAGTGAGATTTACAAATACCTTAGATCATCACATTTTTATTTGAACTCTTGAAAGTTTGGGGTGGTTTTTCATGGCATGAGCACTTAATTTTCTATTGGCAAGAATTGAAGGCATCTGGCACTTGCGTGGGGTAGGTGGTCAAACTTTCCCTTGTCAGATTGAACTTTAAAACCTCTTTCAAACTAAACATTGCTTTTTTTCTGCTCTTTGCTTAACCTTCTGCAGCCGGTCATCAGCCTTTGGCCTCGGCATCCCACTCCCCTCCCACCCTCCCGTGCTTCTGTCCCAGCTCTGCTTGAGCACAGAAATCCAGTGGGAAAACTGCCTTGGACTGGTTTGGGCTCAAGCAAGACTGCCTGTCCTCCTAACGATTTGCATTTACATCCTAAAAGCAGAAGGCTGGAGGTACAGGGGCAGGTAAGAGAAACAGATTCCACTAATCTTTCACTGTAAATTAACTCCTTGTCACAGGTTCATTTCCCTTTGCGGGAGCCTATGAATTTTAGCTGCTGCCAGAGTGTTTTTTTAGTTCTGGGCATGGGCTCGAGGAGCCGTTTCAAGAGGGCCCTCCCATCCCAGCTCTTAAGAAGGCTTGCTTCTGTACAGCTCGCGAATGTGTCATGCTTGACTTTTATCCCCAACCTGTAGCAATGCTTCAGGGTGTGGAGGGCGATTCATAAGGTCAGGATGTCCTGAGTAATCACTGATTTCTTGCCTGGCTGTAAAAGAACACTGCTGATTTGCTTTGCGCTCCGTTTTTGTGGTGTGGGCGGACAGGGAAAGGCTTTTCTTCTCAAGAGCCTAAGTCAATCTCAAAATGGTTTGAGCTACTTAACGTTCGCTGGGCTCTTCAGCACGCTGCATGGGTGCTGTGGGACGTTCAGGCTGCCGTGGGTCGCACCAGTAGGTACAGCAGGGTGCTTGTTGGAGGACGAGCTGTGGGTCTGCAAGCCCAGTTACTCGTCCTTCCATGCAGCGATGAGATACAGTGGGATGGAAATGTCCTGCGCTGGCTGGAGCCCGGCCGTGTTGCGCAGCAGGCGTGGGATGGAGTTTCTGTAGACTTGCCCGGAGCCTTCTGATCTTGAGCTGAATCAGCAACTTCTTTCTTGGCTTTCTACACTTCTTACAGGGGTGAAGCAGAGGAAAAGAGCCCTTCCTAATTTTTACATTCTTCCTTGCCAGTAACCCCTTTCAGGCAGTGATGTTGTGGTAATGCTTTTGGGATCCTTCCAGAAGGAGAGCAGTTGACATATGGAGTGCGTGGCGGTGCTGCAGGGGAAAAGGGAGTGCCAAAGAGCTGTGGAGGGAGGAGGAGTGCTTTTGGGCCAAATGCTACAGTGAAGAGCTGGCCTAAGAAATAGCAAGGGCTCTTGCTCTACAGGGTAGCTGTCGCCTCTCAGGGTGGTAGTTCGCCACAAGTCTCACATCTCCCCTCTTGCAGGAAATGCTACGCACGTAGATTGGGTGTGTCAGGGGCTGAGCCAGCCTTAGTGGCTGATAAATTCAATTTAAGGCATTAGTATGAAGTCTTGTATCTCCTCTAAGTTGGAGTCTCCTCTAAGATGGAGTCAGGACTTTACTGTGAAGTAGAAACAGGGAGTGGTTCCCATTAAATCAGGACAGGATGAAGATGAGGTGCTTTCCCTGCTCTTGTGCTTTGAGTTTTAAATGCGAGAATAGCAGCACTTTGTGTGACGGCAGACACCACGATCTGCCTTTATCTTGACAGAAGCAGGCGGCTGTGCTTGCACAGGCAGGTCAGCACATGCTTGTGGACATGCTTTTCCCTGGAGGTGAGCAGGGTGACAGGGCAGGGACCGCAGCGAGGTTGTCCTTTCTGCAGTGGGACCAGCGGCAGGCACGTCAGCGCGGCTGGAGCCAGGGGGAATTAAGTGTGGGTGAGGGAGGGCTGCTGGCAGACAGCGAAGGGCCGCTCGCTGGTCCTGGCCCTAGGGCTGCGGAGCACAGAAATGTGCCTGGCGTGTTGCTGGCTGATTTTTCCTGTAGGAGGGAAATTTTTAGAAGAGCAGCGCTTCCTGGAGTACTTTCAGTTGTCTGAATAGTTTTCCTTCCTCTTGCCCTCCTGCCCTGGCTGTTGTGTTTTGTTTCTGTATTTCTGTATTTGGTTGACTTCTCTCCCCTTTTAGATTTTTTTTTTTTTGCCCTTTGTGGTGTTGCATCTACCCTAAACCTTTTGAAAGATAATCTGTTTGTTGTTACCAGCAAGAGCGGTGGCCGTGGCCTGAGCAAGTACGTCTTGTTTTGTATGTTTTCTTGCAGTACTTGTTGCTATGCTATTAGCGTATGCTAGAGACGGCCCCTTAGGGCTCGTTATGGTCTTGGTGCCAAATGAGGTAATTTCTGCTTGTGCGGAGGAACTGGAGCCGAGATGAAGTCATTGCCCGAGAGCCCCGGGGAGGGGGTTGTGAAAGAACCCAGAGGTCTCCTGCATCCCAGATCGGCCCTTGAGCCGCTCCCGTTTTCCTGCCCCCAGGTGCTGGCCCACCAGTGCTGGCAAGACCACAGACATGGAGAGCACCAGTGCTAAATGCAGCTGATCTTTAATTTAGTTATGCAGGAGGCAGCGCTTGGTAGCTGTGGCAGTGAGTATGTGGGGGCAGGCAGAGACCCTCCCAAGTTTGAAAAAGTCTTCCACAGCGAGCGAGTCCTGGGCGGGCTGCCAGCCCTTTCCAGTAGTTGTTTCCCGAGCTGCTGTGACTGTGGTCTGTGAGCTTCCTCCCACGGGGTATGTGAACAAACCCAACACAGTCACGTAAAGGGCATCTCAAAACCACAGTGCAGAGGAAATCTTGTGTGCCACTTAATCGGCCCTAGGATGGCTGATGAGGCCTTGCCAGCAGAGCTGATGGGGTGTGCAGATCCCCTGCTTTAGCAAAGGTGGAAAATACAAATTATCTTTGGTTTATTGGGAGATTTTCAGAGACTTGCTTTTGCTGGAACATGGTTATTAACGTTAGCCTACCCTCCTCAGGTACCAGGGACAGTCAATTTGCATTGAGGTGTTGTGAACTTTGGACAGGAATATCTGTGATGCACCAGCTACGCCGTACGTGCTTATAAAGTACACTTTGTAGGGATTAAAGATGCTCAACACATGGAGGGACCAGCTCCCCTGGAGACCTCTTCCTTATCACCTCTCTTCTCTGCTGTAGCGTTTCCTGCATCAGTAACTTAAATAGCGTAGAGCTGAGGTGAGCCTGAAAGCACAGACAGCAATTGAAGGGGACAGAGGAGCTCAGGTGAAGGGAGAAGAGAGACCAGGAAAACTAGGAGACTCCCCCAGCAAACCGGGGAAGGAAACACGTTCAGTCCATATGTTTTGGTACAAACTTGTCAGGGTTGAGCCTGCTGCTTAAAAAGAGGGCAGCCAGGGCTCTAGGAATGCAGAGTATATTGTTTGTAAAAGCGGTGTGTGCCCAGAGGCATGTTTGTCCTGCTGGTGGTGTCTGTCCTGATTTATCCTGCAGCTGCGGGACAGAAGGAGAATTGGAGAGGACTGTGGGGCTCCTGTCGCTCTGATGTTGGCTGAAATGGGGTCCGTGGGCTGCGGTGGCAGCGTGGGTTTTCTGGGCAGGCAAGTGTGTATAAGCACTCTCTTTCTGGTTCCAGGACAATGCATCTTCTTGTGGTGTGTCTCTTCGGTGTCTGGGGTCTGGCTGCCCCTGAGCAGTACGTCGTGGAAGATATCTGCACTGCAAAGCCACGCGACATCCCGGTGAATCCCATCTGCATCTATCGCAACCCTGTGAAGAAGCCCCAGGAGGACGAGGGGCAAGAGCCAGGGAAAGACAAGCTCCCGGAGTCTACTAACCCCCGGGTCTGGGAGCTGTCGAAGGCCAACTCGCGCTTTGCTGTTGTCTTCTACAAGTACCTGGCTGACTCCAAGGACAATGGGGAAAACATCTTCATGTCACCCCTCAGCATTTCTACAGCCTTTGCCATGACCAAGCTTGGAGCTTGTGGTAGCACCCTCCAGCAGCTCATGGAGGTCGGTGGCATTTCCTCAGCCTTTTCCTGTAGTTGTCACCAGGGTCTGAAAGACAGCAAAGGTGATAGTGGCTGACGGCTGCTAAAGGGCTCTCTGGGTCAGGGTGGCTCCCTGGCTTGGGAAGGGAGACCTTTATTTAAAAAGGCCCTGGGAAGGACATGCACGGGCTGCTTATCTCTGGATTTGTTTAGATCCCAGCTCTTTCCTCTGACTCCCTATTTGGATCCAGCATTCAGGGTGGATTTCCTGGGTTTGAGAGGTTAGTTTTTATCTGGAGGAAAGGAAGCCCATTTGGGAGATGAGGGAAGGGTAATGGGAACAGTTCGTTTCTTGCAGATCGGGCAAGCATGTAGCTGAGCAGGTAGCTAAGCGTGTTCTTACGCAAAAAGCAGGAAAAGCCATGATAAATCCCATTGGGAGAGGCTCTTTTTCACATTCCCTCTCTCACTCCCTTGGGACAAAACCAAGACACACGGGACACCCTGCAGTCCACCTGGCTTCCAGGGCTCTGCCACCCTGCGGGAGCACAGGAACATCAGTTATTTCTTGAGGGCCTCCTTGTAGTAAGTTGAAGGACAGTCTGAGCACTCAGCCAGGAATAAATAGCTTCTCTCTGCTTGTGTTGGACAGTATTTCAGCAGCACAGGAAGGGCCTGAGCTTCCCAGGCAGGGGAGCCTGTATGCAGGGAGCCTCTCCCTCCAGCTGTGGCTCCTAAACTTGGAGGCAGGAGCTCTGGTCCTAGACTGAGAGGTAATCCTGAGTTCCGGCTCTTTTGTGGGACCTGTTAGCCCCCTGCCTGTCCAAGCACCGTTCTCACTGTCAGACCTGCTCGCCTGACAACTGTGAGCGCACTCGTCTGCCATGTGGGGTTTGGTACTGCCTGTACCTTCCTCGCAGATGGGAGACTACAGCCCAGAGGGGCCTTTCTCCCTGCAACAAGGACGTGTGAATCAAACTGCTCCACTTGTCCCCACTGCTGCTGTCCTTACAAATCCTGCCTCTGGAGTTAGTCATGTTGGGGTCTCCTGATGTTATCCACGCAGCCTGGGCAGAACAGAGCAGCGAACCACATCTCCAAAATCTTCACTTGTGCCTTCCCCTCTGGGCAGCCCTTCCCACTGGAAGGGGACCCATCTCTCACTGAGCCACCCGGGATGCAGAGCTGCACTCCTAATCCCCCTTTTCCATACAAATGGGCTGGTAACACCACCTTTGCCTCGTAGGGAACGGTGCCAGAGATCCTGGATGTTTGTGTGGAGCAACGTGCTATGGGATTTTCTGTGCCTTAAAGCCCTGAGGTTGGATAGTAGAAGACAAATCGTAACTGTCCTTCCAGCTGGCAGCTGGGAGCAGATAAGAAAAAATTCACTGTGCTGCAGAAATCTGCCCTCAAAATGATTGCTACATAGTCCCATTCCCTGCAAAAATAGATAACATACCAGAATTGCTCAACAGGCCATGAGAATTGCTGCTGGGGAGGAGCAGCCTTTGGCATCATCACAGGAGGGCTTAGCGCAAACCTTGTGAGTCCTCCTGTGACCTGCACTGACCCAAGAGCCGCTTCCAGGCCCCATCAGCCCGATGCTCATCTCGTGTGAGGCTCTCGCAGGGGTCTGGTAGAGGGTTTGTGAACACTGTGCATAAACTGTGTTCATTTTAACAGCACTGGGAAAAGCCCTGTGGTTCACATGCCAAGCTAGAATCTGTTCCCTGAGAGGGGTCGGATCACACAGAGGAAAACATCTCCAAGGCCTTAGTGTGTCTTCTGCACAATCACCTCAAGGGTCTAGCTACGTCATGCCCACATTTGAGACAGACGCATACAAAATGATGCATCTTCCCCTGACAGCTGGGGCAATGAAAGGGGGTGGAGAACAGAGGCAGAGAAAGAGGCAGATTCGGGCAGGCGCCCTGCCGCTAGCGCCGGGGAAGGAACTTCAGCGAGGAGTCTTCTCTTGGGTAAGACACTGGGTCAAAGACAGTCAGGAGCCTGGACCAGTCAAAGGCAGAGTATGGAGAGCGAGGAAGCCAGGGTTAGAAAGAGGAGCAGTACCTCTGCATGCTGAGCAGTGTTTAATCCTGCATTTTGGAGTCCAAAATGCAGGGTCTTGGGCTAGCGATGTGTTGCTTTTACGTAGATTTGGGTTCCAAATTAAACATGGAGAGTGAAGCTCTGAGGGCCTGCAAATTTCTTGGCTCCACGATTTAGGCTGTTGGGCAGCCGGCAAAGGCTGCGTCGCCACTTGCTATGGGGCCTGGGAGCTGTGGGAGCACAAGAACCTGCTCATGGATTCCTTCTCGCTGGCTCCTCTAGGTCTTTCAATTTGACACCATTTCAGAGAAGACATCTGATCAGATCCACTTCTTCTTTGCCAAGCTGAACTGCCGGCTTTACAAGAAAGCCAACAAATCCTCAGAGCTGGTATCAGCCAACCGCCTCTTTGGGGAGAAGTCCTTGGTCTTTAATGAGACTTACCAGAACATCAGTGAAATAGTTTATGGAGCGAAACTCTGGCCCTTGAACTTCAAAGTGAGTTTGAACTGCCCGGGATTTCTCCTTGATTGGTTGGGGATTTTTTCCTCCCTGTCCTTCTCCTTTTGCTGCATCCTCATCCTTCGCCTGCAGGGAGTGCCACGCTCTGGGTGCGCGGGACATGGGTGAAGGCAGGGGATGCAGCTCCTCCTGTCCCAGCTCACCGTAACCACCGTCACTTCCCCACTCCTCATTTCTAAATACTGCAGCACTACACTGGAGTAGTGTCCTCCCCGAGCACACACCCTGTTAATCATGTCTCCTTCAGAAGGGATAAAAAGAGGTGTTTAAAACCCTTGACTTAACCTTTTTTGGTCTCTTCCTTCAGGAGAAGCCAGAACTTTCCAGGAAGATCATTAATGAGTGGGTGGCTAATAAGACAGAGAAGCGCATTACAGAAGTGATCCCAGAAAGAGCTATTGATGATCTCACTGTCTTGGTCCTGGTCAACACCATTTATTTTAAGGTATGGCAAACAAAACTGGGGGAAGCAACCCATTTGCCTGGGGGAAAACACGATGCTCATGTTTGTGTTTGCCCTCCTCCTCTCCCTTTTAGGGGCACTGGAAATCACAGTTCCCAGTCCCAAACACAAAACTGGATTTATTTCATAAAGCCAATGGCGAGACCTGCAAAGTCCCCATTATGTATCAAGAGTCCAAATTCCACCACGCGTCCATCCCCCAGGACAAAGTCCAGGTGCTGGAGCTGCCTTACAAAGGGGACGATATCACAATGGTGCTGGTCCTGCCCAACGCTGGGACGCCGTTGGTGGAGGTAGAGCGAGCCCTGACGTCGGAGAAGCTGCAGGGCTGGATAGACTCCATGACAGAGGTCTCTCTCTTTGTCTACCTCCCTCGCTTCCGTGTTGAGGACAGATTCAGTGTCAAGGAGAAGCTGAGAAAAATGGGGCTGGAAGATCTCTTCAGTCCGGAAAATGCCAGACTCCCAGGTCAGATGTGGAGACGGGGTGGTGCAGGGTGGAGGTGGGGGGTAACCGTTCCTCCACAGGCACCAGGGCAGTAAGCATAGCAGCATGTGAGGAACGAGAACATGAAAGCATTTAGATGTTGGTGCGGTCAATGATGGACTCTGTTGTCAGTCCCATCACGGACACGCAGCCCTGCTCTGCGCTAAGGGCATGGGAGTGAAGCAATCAGTTGTAGCTGGTGGAGGATATTCTTGTTTTAGGGCAGACATGCTTTCTGCTTGAACACAGGCCATGAAGGATAGAAGGGTGTTCTCTTGAGCTGTTGTCTAAGAACATAGTTTTAACTTTCTCCATTTTGTATTTCAGGTATCATTGCAGAGGGCCGTACAGACCTGTACGTATCTGAGGCTTTCCACAAAGCCTTCCTCGAGGTAAGCCTTGTTTTGTTCCCACGAGTGTCCTCCTCTTTGCTTTTAAAAACATGAAGCATTAAAAGAAAAAATAGCTCTGCATCCATGGCGTTCACTTCCTCAGCAATCTGGGGCGTTAGGGGGAAGTGGGAGCTTGGCACCCACCTCCCATGGGGGAGGAGGGAGAGCCCTCTACATACTGCATAATCCCTGTGTTTTAATCCCATCTTCTCTTTTGGTTGGTAGGTGAATGAAGAAGGCAGCGAGGCATCAGCTGCTACAGCTGTCGTAGTCTCCGGCCGTTCCTTCCCCATGAACAGAATAATCTTCAATGCCAACAGGCCCTTCCTGCTTTTCATCCGGGAAGCTGCCCTCAACACCGTTATCTTCATGGGCAGAATAGCTGATCCTTGCTCCTAAAGGGGCTGTCGGGGCCTCGCTCCTCCCTTCTCCGCCTCTGGAAAAGGGGCGGTAGGGTGTTGCCACAGAGCCCAGGCTGCTCCTGGGGTGGTTGGTCTTACTGTTTGGTGCAAGCTGCAGGGAGGGACTGTGTCCAGCTGGGCTGTTACCGCTCCTCTTGCTGTGCCGGGTAGGGGGCTCAGAGGGCACCTCACCTGCTCTGTCCTTCATTCAAAGGGAAGCTGAATTTTTTCCAGCACCAGTATTTTTGTGGCACCTAAGCCTGAGTCCAGCATTGCTGTCATTCTTATATCCAACCCTCCTCCCTTTCAGGCCTCAAACTGTAACTCTGATCCCCTGGTACATTAAAAACCTATAGATCTGAATGTAACAAACTGATCTCTGAATGGACAGTTTTCACTAAGTCACTCCCCAGACTTATTTAAACTTTCCTTTTTCAACAAACGGGTCCTTCCCTGCACGCCCCGGTCCCAGCAGAACAACCCCACACCGGAGAGGTCAGCGGAACAGCAGCAGCCAAATGGCATGTGCTGGCTGGGCCAGAAACACCTGCACACAGCTCTGCGTGGAACAGCTGGTAGGTGGCAGAGCTGCCGAACACCGGAGCCCTACTCGCCGACAGGTCTGGCCTGTCCCATGTGTCCAAAAAGCCTCGCGTAGCCAAGGCGGTGAATCTGTCTTTCTGAGTAGTAAGCTTTTAACTAGCTCCGTGCTAAAAGTTGCTGTAGCGGGGGTGTCTATGAACCGTGACAATGCCCAGGTAAGGCAACGAAGGTCCATAATTCTGCGTTACAAATCTGTTATTTCACCTGCAAGTTTACTCCTAGAGCTGAGGTGTCCTGGCCTGCTGCCATGCCAGATGCGTACTCTGACCTCTCGTCCACCCAAGGTGGCCGTGCTGCTGTAGGACTTCTGACAGGGTTGTCTTCAAGATGCAGAAAAAAAATGTGGTGAGCTTCCCTCTAAGATTTCTGCATTTAGAGCAGCTGTTTAAAACAAGAAGGGCAGCAAAAGCACAGTCCTGTCCTGTCATCAGTACGTGTTACAGAAGTGTTGTGTGCAGACAGCTGCTAAAACACCAGTAGGTGGCACTCCCCAGTGTGCCATTTACTCTGGATTTTGTAGAACCAGTGAAACATCTGCCTTTATAAAGGCTTCCTCTCAGCAGCAATTGCCACCGCAAGCCAAGCAATGAGGGACTTAAGTCAGATGTGCCAGTCTGCCGAAGAGCTGGGATGAGAAGATGTTTGGTCACATCTGGGAACATCTCTGTACGTGTCTGGGAACGTCTCCATAGTTTTGGAAGGTTTTGTAGCCCTCTCTCTTCTCCTGTAGGAAGGTTTGAGCCTCTGTGTTGTGTTGCAAGTGGTGCATGGTTTGGACACGGAGAGTCACCTCCTGTGTTGTGTCACCGGGCTGTACTCATCAGGCCCCTGCACACACACACGAAAAGCACTTATCCTTTTTGTGCTGACATGCTTGCCCAGAGTAATACCTCTGGAAGAAGCTGTGTGTGCAGCTACTTTAATGCAGAAGCTTGGGCCCTGGAAGAAAAGGGGGAGCATTTTGGAAATCACTAGGAGTTCAGAAAGCAGCTCTTCCTCTCCCTGTCCTACTCTGGCACTCACCGGTGTGTCTTTTCTTGCTGGATCCTATCTTCTGCCTGCTACCTCATTGCGCGGCTCCAGAAACGTGCAGTCTCCTCCTGTGACCTCTGCCTTTGCGGTTGTGCTCCAGGCTGTGGAGGTAGCAGCTGGTGAAAGAGGAGGGCTGAGGAAGCGCCTGGGTCTCCCTAGCATGGTGCTGAACCACAATGCTTCCCCTGCCATCGGCAGCTGGGAAAGCCCTCTTGCTGCAACAGGACTCGGGCGCTTGGCCTGCGGTGAGAGCACAGTGCTTTCTCTACCCTGTGAGACCGAAAAGGGCTGAGCCTGCAGAATTGATGAGACAAAGCTCATAAAAAGAGAAGGACCGAAGTCATCTAAGATACCAGGAAAAGCAGCCTGGCACAGCCCGGCCTCTCCCATGTTGCTAAGCTTAGGGCAGCGCAGAGCTGTGTAAAGCAGGGACCAGGCTCTCGCACCACGGCCGATTCGAAGCGGGCAGCAGAGAGAAAATCAATGTCAGGTCAGACCAGTCAGCCACAAGACACAGACGAGGATCTGAGTATTAAACCATTTAATTCTCAAACCACTCACATGCATAATGTTCTTTTACACAGTGTTAAAAGAAAGAAGAAAATGCGATTTGTTTTTTAATACAAACAGAATTTCAAGTATACATTTATAGAATTTTCAAAGATTCCTACCCAAGTTGCTAAGTTTTCATTCACATTGTTCTTAAAGCTGTCCAACAAGAGCGCTCTTTGCTAAACTGCTTTCAATGCAATTGTACAGTCCCCTCTACCGCGGTTTTATTTCCCCCTTCCCCAACTCTGGTTCTCTTGCCACCCTTGCCTGCCCCCCCTCCAGCAGCACTGGCCATCCCTGTGTGCCATCAGCCATGGAGCCGGTGGCCCTTCCAAAGAGCTGCTATCATCTGCCAGCTCCCGCTGGAAGAGGAAAAGGAAAGCGATGGTAGAGGACCAGCTTGGGAACAGCTTGTAACATCATTGAAGAACAGTCTGCTATGCGCAAGTTACAGCAGGCTCACACCTCAACCTACTGCAGACTCATGCGAACACTGACTTTCTTTTTTTTCCTTGAAATAAGGATTGCAACCAAAAATAAAATAAAACAAAAAAAAGAATAATTAGTACAGCAGGAAATTTCTTCACTGTGAAAGTAAGTCTTGAGTGTTAGGACACCTGTCCTAAAAAGTTTGATTTATAGGTCAACAGTTGAAGGTGACAGCACAATTTTTCTTACAAATTGTTACTCTGCAAACCAGCTCAGAGCAGAACCAATGTGGGACATACAAACTTGGGTTTTAAAAAAAAAAAAAAAAAAAAATACTGAACTGACTAGGGCTCCATATCCACGTTATGGAAAAAAACCCACAACCCCAGCAACACCTTCATCGCAGCTTCGCTCGTTCAACTTAGCTCAGCCCTGTGCATGCGGATGGGCTGTCTGCTGTGTTGTAACTGGGTGTAACTTCTGACCTATTATAAACAGGGTTTAAATATTCTTTACAGGCAAAGGTGGGTTTTTCTTAACCGATTACAAAAGTATTCTAACAGGCCGATGCATGCCAGTCCTGTTAGTGCTACAGCACGGCTGAGCTGCAACCAGGTTTGTGGTTGCGGTGGAAACTCCTGTCTGTAGTGGCGGCAGGGGCAGCGCCAGGCCGGGAGGGCTGCGGGAGGTAGAGCTGCGGTCGAGGGTCTGGCAACATGGCTCCCTCCTGGGCTCTGGCTGACAAGAAGCCACCTACCTGTACAGCTGTGTCAAAAGCCAGCAACAGCCATACTCATCTTATGATTTAAAGTGCATTTCTTCAGTAAAGGGTTTTTCTTTTTTTTTTCTTTTTTTTTTCTTTTTTTTTTTCAAGAGGAACCTATTTAAAGTGCTGTTCTAGTTTGGAAAGGGACTCTGTTTAGAAAAAAAAAATGGCACCTTTTCACACGAGAGATCTGCTCTCTGTATGTGTTTGTGTATGTGTGTGTGTATATATATAAACTTGCAGAGTCAGATCTGCTGATTAATGACCAACATATAAAAGCGTTTTCTTTTTTATTTTATTTTATTGCTTTTTTACTGCTGCCTGCTCCCTTGGAGGCAGGAGGGAGATGGAATCTCCTCTTACCTTCCACACCGTTAGCTAATTTCCCAGTGCAGGACGTTGAGCCCGCAGTCTCGCAGCTCTGGCAGCAGCCTTTGGCCCGCTGGACAGTTTGCTATTATGCAGAATACGCAAAGTAACGAATCCACCCTGAACTGTCGCAGCCCCAGAGCGAACCTGCAAGGGTCATAGCGAGAAACTGGCGGCAAAGAGGGACGATGGACCCCAAAAGGCTTCCCCCTGCTCCTGCCAGATGCCATTTTCATAGAGTCACTTTACAGAGCAGACCTGCATTTCTGAAACACAGAGGTAAGGAAAACAAATCTGTTTTAAGTGAAAGCTTTGCTGATAGAGTGTGTAGTGTGGTAACCTCAGCACTCCAAGAGAGAGAGGTAGTTACTGTCCTGTGAATCTTCTGCTGCTTAATGCAACTCAATTTCTGGAGTGATTGCTCAAAAAAAAAAAAAAAAAAAAAAAAAAAAAAAAAAACCCACAAAATGCTACAAAAAGGCCCAATTCCCTCTTTTTCTTCCTACC